GTCTCAGTCTGTACATGTGACGAATAACTCAGACTGCGTTTGTAAACAATAATATAGTTGCTCTAGTCGCCCTATAGTCTATTAAATGTGAGCGTTTTGAACAACTTTTAAAAGTGTTCTATTAAGGTGTATCACATAGCAGCATGTGCGTCTTCTAGGGACCTTTAGTCCAGCTACTTAAATATTCGTATGCCCGTTGACATGGATATTTTTCTAAGTAAACGGTTTAGTTTTCTTGTCCTTGTCTCTCGTTGTCTCTCGTATTATTGCATGATGGCAGCGGTAGTTTTGTTTTCCTTCGTTTAAGTCGTCGACAAGTTAAACCGTCTACGGCATGAATAACAGCGAAAGTTCAGGTCCTTCGTCTCAACCGTCAGCGCCGTCAGCGCCTCAATCGTCGAGCGATGTTTTTCATCAGATCATGTCGCCTCATCCTCTTGCTTTGAAACACAGCGGAGAAGTCGCTAAAAATTGGAAGCTTTGGAAGGGAAAATACAACAACTGTTTCATTATTTCTAGGCTAAATCGAGAGAGCCCGGAATACCAGCTAGCAATGTTTAAGCACACGATCGCAGATGATGCTTTGAAAGTTATCAAAACGTTTTTCAGTTACACTGAAGCCGAGGACTCGAATAATTGGCGCGTGGTAATGGATAAAAAAGAGAAGCATTATATCGGAGACGTCAACGAAATTTACGAGCGGTATTGTTTTAATAGAGGGGATAAACTCCCTCAGTGAGTCGGTAGATAGTTTTGTCGCTGAATTGAAAACGTTAGTCAAGACTTGTAATTTTTGTGACTGTTTACAGGACAGTTTGATCCATGATCGTATTGTTCATGGAATTAAGAGCGAGCAGACTACAAAAAAACTATTAAGGATGAGAGATCTTACGTTAAATCGTTGTATTGATGTATGCCGAAGCAAAGAACTTACGGAGTTGCAAATGCAGTCGCTATCGGAATCGGTAGACAGCATCGATCAGGTCAAGTCAGAGAAGAAGCCTCAAATCCCGACGCCGGATGGACGGCCCGGAAAGAAATTTTCGTGCAAATTTTGTGGCTGTGATCATGCCCCGGAGAGTAAAAAGTGCCTTGCCTGGAGTAAAGTATGTAAGCGGTGCAACGAAAGGAATCATTTTGCAAAAGGGTGCAAAGATAAAGATGCCGCGTTTATGCTATTGACAGCGACTAAGACTTGGAAGAGATAAGTGTTGTCAGGTTTCAAGCTGTGAAAGATAGGGCCGTGTTTACCGAAATGCTAGTCCAGCAGAGACCTGTCAAATTTCAAGTTGACTGTGGAGCTAGGGCTAATATTTTGCCACACAAGCATTTTGAAAATGTGGATATTGTTCCTTGTTCCCAATCTTTTGTTATGTGGAATGGCACCAAGGTGAGTCCCGTGGGGACGTGTGCTCTGCCAGTTGTAAATCCCCGAAACAATACTAAGTAGAAAGTAGGGTTTCTGGTCTTCAAAGAAAATATAACTCCACTTCTGCGTTCAAACGCTACTGAGAAAATAGCCGGGGTTTGCTAACCGTGCAGACGGAGAACTTTGAGAGCGTTGTGGAGATTTGGAAAATGATCTGGTCATCATGATCAAATACGCAGATGTATTTGATGAGAGCCTTGGCAAGCTGCCTTGAAAGGTTCATCTACCAGTCGATTCGGCCTCTCAACCAGTAATTCTCCCAGCCAGGAAATTGCCCGTCTAAGTCAGAGAGAAATTCAAGGCGGAACTTCAAAGGTTGCAGGAGCTCGAGGTCATTGCTCCAGTCGATGAGCCTACTGAATGGGTCAGCCAGTTTCGTTGTTGCTGTCAAGAAATCTGGTGAGTTACGTGTTTTAATTGATCCTGAGGCGTTGAATGCTTCCCTGAAGAGGGAAAGATACCACATTCCCGTTATTGACGATTTTCTGCCCGATTTGGCAGAGGTTCGGGTGTTCACCAAAGTTGATCTCGCGTCCGCCTTTTGGCATTTGGTGCTGGACGATGAGTCTAGTCTGTTGACAACTTTTGCCACCCTTCATGAAAGATATCGCTGGCCTCGTTTGCCGTTTGGTCTGTGTGTGTCGAGTGAGATATTTCAGAAACATTTACACCAAGAGTTGCTGCAGCTGGATCCGCCTGGTGTGAAGTGCATCGCCGACGACGTGCTCATTTATGGAAACGATGAATTTGATAACGATTGTAACCTGGAGGGTTTCATGAAGAGATGTCAGCTGGAAGGTATAAAGCTCAATCGTGTGAAACTGGATTAAAGGTGTAAGGAAGTTCCCTTTCATGGGCATCTCTTGACAACGGAAGGTCTGAAGCCAGATCCGCAGAAAACCAAAGCGATTACTGAAATGCCATAACCTGAAAGCCAGAAGATATGTCGCGTCTAAATGGTATAGTTAATTACCTCAGTCGTTTCCTACCAAACCTTTCTGACGCGATGAAATCGCTCCGCGACCATACACATAAGGATGTAGAAAGGTGTTGGTCCAACGTGCAAGAAAAGACTTTGAATGAGGTCAAGAGCCTCATCACGTCTACCCCCATGCTCTCATACTACAAGCCCGATGAGCTGTTAGAAGTGCAGTGTGACAGTAGTCAAGCTGGTCTGGGCGCGGCCTTTATGCAAGGTGGGCACCCCTTAGCCTATGCAAGCAGAGCGTTAACAGAAACAGATACCCGTTATGCACAGATTGAAAACGAAGCGCTTGCGATTGTTTTCGCCATGGAGAAGTTTAACGACTACACATTTGGCAGAAAGACAGTGGTTCTCAGTGAACACAAGCCACTGGAATCAATTCTTAAGAACCCTTTGCATCGTGCCCCCCAAGCGTTTGCAAGGCATGATAATTTGCCTGCGGAAATATTAGCTGGAGGTGAAATATCAAAAGGGAGACACGATGTTCTTGGCAGACACCCTCTCAAGAGCGTTTCTCCCAGCCGGTCAGCAAGACGACTCTGAATTTGAAACCATTAACATGATCAAGTACCTTGCGGTATCGGAAGAAAAGGCCCCAACATACTGAACGTCACACTGAATCAGACGAGTCTCTTCAAGTGTTAAAGACCGTGATCCAGAAGGGCTGGCCGGAGAATAAGATGAACGTACCTGTTATCATCTCCCCATATTTGAACATGCGCGATGAGATGTCTTCCAGGATGGCCTCATTTTTAAGGAAGAGTGAGTCGTGGTTCCGCGTGGTCCAAGGAGCGAGCTGCTGAAACGAATTCACAGTTCAGAACTTGGGGTCAACGACTGTCTAAACGGAGCACGTGAGTCTGTGTACTGGCCCGGGATGACAGCTGACGTCAAGAACAATCTGTCGACTTGTGAGGCATCTCATGAATATGAACGAGGCCAAGCTAAGGAAACAATGTAAAGGTGTAGTCTGATCGTCCGGGTGAGTGTAGTCCTGAGAAGGACTGTTGTCGGTGGTAGTGACTGACGTTTCGACAACCTGTGCGGAAGTCATCATCAGAGTCAAGTGGAAACAATAATTTCCCATGAGACGCCAACCAGACCCTGGCAACGGGTTGCCGCCGACGTTTTTGAGCTCGAAGGAAAGACTTATCTAGTGACCTCGGATTATTACAATGATTTCTTTGAGCTCGATCATTTGAAATCTCCTTCGTCAGTGAGTATCATCAGAAAGTTAAAGTGCACCTAAACCCAAAATTTTTTTTTCACTTAACGAAATAGGCGTATTTTTTGGAGTATTTCTGAGAAAAAAATTTTTTATTTGCTCAAATCTTCAATTTTCTGTGCCCAGTCAAAATACGGAAAATCGGCCGCCATCTTGCCCCACGACCGAGTTTAAAGAGGAATGGCTCTAGTGGGTAATGTGACGTCAAATCGAGAACACGAAAGTCTGCATTTCACACATTTTCACTTGTTTGGGAAGGTTGT